CCAGATGTGGATGGGCATAGATCTCTTAGCAGTCTCAGCCACACAATCATATTCATAAGAAGCTGGAGTTTTTTGATACTAGAGCTATGTCAGGGCTAATTCTGATAGTAAAATCCAGAGCTTCTAACATTATTGGAGGCATTTGTCATCGTAGTGAAATCTTGCTAAGGCAAGTAAGTTTGAAATCAGAGAAAGGTTGGCTACCTTAATATCGTGCTTTCCCTCTCTTTAAGTGAATTACCGAGGATCTTTGGGCTTTGGCCAGGATAGCGTGGATTCACTACCAGGAAATGTGGGTTGCCAGGATGTCAACGATGTGCAGGTAAGAAAGTCCCTTCCTCCATTTCCATCAAGAGTGCTCACTACGTGGAGAAATGTATATATTTTCTGTAGCGAGGAGATTCAACTGTCACCAAGGAGAATGTCTGTTTATATTCCCTTGCCAGATCAAATTCTCAGTAGGATAAGTGTGAAATTCTTGTGAGACTCTACCTCCTTTAAAGATATGTATAATATATTTGTTCTTATATATACAAGAACAGGAAGCTTTAACACAAGGGTCTATCCAAATGTAGTTTGTACTTTTCAAGGTATACATTGAGACAACCTAATCATAGTGCTTTCAGAACTCAGCTAAACATTTGGAGTTGCTTTGTCCAAATGTCTATTCAAGATGCCGTAGTCCTTGCTCCCACAGTAATTGTAACCTTTTCTTTTCCTTGTAGTTCTGTGTAGAGCAGATGCTACAGAAAGAACCTCTGGATTCAAAGAGAGTAGCTTTGCTTGGGGGATCCCATGGAGGTTTTTTATCTTGTCATCTCATTGGCCAATATCCTGGCACGTATAAAGCCTGTGTGACCAGGAATCCTGTAGTCAATATGGCCTCGATGATTGGAAGCACTGATATCCCCGATTGGTGAGTATTTATGAAAAACTATGTTCTCCCTTTTGAGCAGATGCTGTCATTACTGATGCCTGCTCTGTGGCTTCTTCTAGGTGCATGACTGAGGTTGGGCTACCCTATGACCAAGCTGCTCTCCCAATTCCTGAACAATGGGAAAAGATGCTGCTTCATTCACCTATGCAGTTTGTTGACAAGGTATATCTTTCCCTCCCTTTTTGTATATCCATTACTTTCAGACCCTCATATTTTTTTTCTTACTTTCAGTATTCTGATTTCCTTCTTACATTCTTTTCCTTAGGTTCAAACACCAGTTCTCCTGTTGATTGGACAAGAAGATAGACGTGTTCCCCCCAAGCAAGGCTTGGAATATTACCGTGCACTTAGGTCCAGGGGCATTCCAACCCGGTAAGCTTCTTGGGTAGAATTGAAGAAACGGGGGGGGGGGGGGGCCTAAAAGGGGGTTTTATGAAATCAGAGAAAAACAGAAATACATGCAACTGGGGTGGGGTGGGGGGAATGATAATCTGGGCAGAAGATGGGGCTGAAATGATGATAGGGAGGGAAATGTCAGCAGCGTAATTGTATATTAGCTGATGCCTCTGTTTCTTCATATTTCTAGGATGTTGCAGTATCCAAGTGATAACCATGCACTATCCAGTGTGGAGGCTGAGGCAGACGGTTTCATGAATATTGCACTCTGGTTTCTCCAGCATATGAAATAACAATTATAGAAGCTTGTACTTTTGGGTTGAGGCCAGCTAACAGAAAGTCAAGTCTCTTCAGTTTGAAAGACCTAGTAGCTGATTGGTACTCTGATCCCTAGTCTCCGAAGTGTGAACAGGCACATAACAATGTGGACATCATCCTCTTAGGCCTCAATTGTGCTACAGAGAGAGAGGCTACACTGGCCAAATATATTTGATTTGCCAAATTTAGCATTTTATTAATAATATCACCATTATAACTAGGCAGAACGATCAGGTACTAGAGCACTGATAAATATTCCCGTTAGACGGTATTAGAATCTGTAATTTCATTTAAATGATTGGCGCTAAACTGAAAATGAATTTCAGAAATCAAGCTGCAGAATATATCCTTGGGATAATCTTATTAATTTCTGAAAATTATCTAGTTTGAATGCTTCGATTGGGAATGACTGGAATGCAGTATTTTGAAGAAGTGATGTAAAATCATTAACTTGAAATCTAAAGAATGAAATTACGTTTCACAATATTAAGTTTCTTGATGGCTTGAATTGGAGAGACCTGATATTGTGGTGTATGTGAAAAGAATCTGGGTATTGTTGACCACAAGTTAAACAAAGCCAGCAGTGTGATGCAGCTACTAAAAAGGCAAATGTTATTTCAGAGTGTGTTTACAGGAATAGAGTCCAGATCATAGGAAGTAACTGTTCCACTCTACTCTGCCCTTGTCAAAACCCTTTTGGAGAGCTGGGTCCAGTTTGGAGCGCCACATTTGAAACAGCGCTATAATGTGGAAGCGAGTTCAGAGGAGGTCTACTAAGATGGTGAATGAAGTGGAAATCATGTTTAGCCTACAGAGCGACAGCTAAGGGAAGATACGATAGCGATCATCAGATATCTAAAGAGTTGTTTCACAGATGAGGGAATTGATTTATACGGTTTCCCCAGAGGACAGGAGCAGAACCAAAGGTTAAAACTAAAGTGAAGCAGGTTCAGGCTAGACATCAGGATCAACTTCCTGATTGTATTACTTGTGAGCCAGCGGTAACTTCTTCACTAATGTATTCAAGCAGTAATTGGAAGCTCATCCATCACACATGCTGTGGTGGATCCAAGAGTCTGCGAATTGGACTAGATGACTTCTTTGGTCCCTTCCAAATCTGATTCTATGAATCTGTTTGACAGTGAGCTTTAATAGCTGTAGTAATAAGTCACAACATGTTAAGGGTTGTCTAGGAAAGAAAAATAATTTACTACCAGACCAAAGAATTACTGTCATTACAGTCTGTGCACAAGTACCTTGCAATAAGCCTTTTTAATAGACTGATTAGCTTTGGAATATGCCTGCTATTTGTTCTCACAGGAAATCACACATCTTTGTTCACTGAGAAATAATTATTAAAAGGAACTTAATTGAGAAAATAATCTGTTACTTGTCCTATTAATAAAATGTTCTCTTTTTCCCTCTGAAAGAATGGTTACATCAAACTATACTCCTTCATAGGATAAATTCTGATTTACCAGGCCAGCGATTTGAATAAGGACTTCAATCTCCTTTATTTGTTGTTTCATACTGCACTGCTTTATTTTGGTTTGTAGTGATGCTGCACTGAGTAATGTATTGCAGGCCATGGGTTGTAAGAATGTGCTTTAAAAGAAATTTTATTGACATTTTTATTGAACTAAATACTTGATCTTTGCCACTTGCTTCCGGAACTGAATATTTCAGTTACAGCCCTCTCTTAAGCAGTTTATAGAGTCAGCATATTGCCCCCAACAATCTGACTCCTCATTATACCCACCTCAGAAAGATGGAAGCTTGAATCAATCTTGAGCTGGTCAGGATCGAACTCTGGCAGTCAGCAGAATTAGCCTGCAATACAGCATTCTAACTACCACCACTTTTCTGGCAAAACCAAATGTGTTAAAGGAGATGTGCATGGTGAGCAATTTAGCTAGATGAATCTGTATGTGTTGTACATATATAACACAAATAAGGCAAGGTTGTCGTCTGCCTACAATAATATTGGAGCTTGCCCAAGATAGTTGTCAAATTACAACTGAAGGAGTCAGAAGTTACCTATCCACTAAGTTGTGATGGTAGTAAAGCAGTTCACCACATAATCATACCTGGTTTTATGACTTTTTTGCAGTGGTCAATAAGTGAATTCAGTTATAAAGCAAACTCATTTTTGCTGAAAATAAAAGGAATCTTGGTTTTTAGCAAAAACATCCAAAAATGCAGTCGTGGCCATAGGATGCTGCAAATGGCCATTAATGCAGTCTGCTTGCCAAATGTCCAACATAGTCATGTGACTAATATGTGTGTACATGAGTGAAATTCAGAATTAGGTCATAAGTACTTTTTTAGAGGAAGACACCATTGTAACTTCAAATGGGCACTAAACATATGGATGTAAGTCTACTGTATTCAATATTTCCTTTGATCAAATAACATGGATTAGGGATATGCATGTTCTTTATAATAGAAGAACATAACATTTTATATTCCCCATAAGTGAATTTAGCCTCTAGCTGCAATGTTTGCTGAAAGTATTTCTCTTCTGCCAGAATGACTTCTCAAGTGCTTTACAAATGAATCCAGAGAATCTTTGCCTAGGAAGACACAAGACAAAGGGATAACTGGGTGAAAAAGACAAAGGGAAAAAAGGCTTAATCTGATACTGTGAAAATACCTGATTCTTGTAACTAGTGAACTGGATAGTGTAGGTCTGTAAGCAGCTGGCATGAAAATCGGCTCAAAGAGGAAAAGCAAAAAATAAAAGATCAATTTCCTTAGTAGAATAAATGATGCTTTTTCATCAATTATGATGGCCCTGCTCTCTTTCTAAGAGTTTGTTTTTGTTGTTGTTAGCGTGCCTACTTTATTGATTTTCCTATTCTGGCAAAAAGTACATTGTGTGCTTGCACACTACCGCTTCGTCCTGTAGTAGACAACTCATTCCGCAGCAGCTTTTTAGGTTCGCATGACACTGGAGCATAAGGTCAGCCACGCTGCTGGTTTCACCTACTACCCAGCTGCCGAAAAGAGCTCTCTGGTTTCCCCTCGCCTGTCACGCCCTGCAACTCCTCCTCCCCAGCCCCCCGTTTTGCTGCTTTGACAAGTGTCGGGCGGGATTGCGGGATTGAATGAGCCCGGCAAGCAAAGCAATCCGCGCTTGGGATGTTTAGGTGGGACGCCTGCGGGAGAAGGAATGGCGGAGGGGAAAGCAATGCGCGGCCTTTCCCAGGCGCCTCAAGGCACCCCCCACCCCCACCCCCACCCCGCGCTGTGAGGAAGACGGGCGAGATGAGGCTGGTCCTGCCTTTGCCATCTGGCCGAGCCAATCAACCGCGCCTATTCCTTATCTCGCGCCCGCTTGTTAGACTGCAGCGTTGGCCTTTCCGAAGCCGAGCGGACCCACCCTGCATCCGCACCTGCCTTTTGCTCTCTGCCGGGGCTCGGACGAGTTTTTGGGCGGCGGGAGAAGAGGGCGTATGGCGCGCAGCTCGGAAGGCCCGAGAGAAGCGGTAGGGAGGGAGGCAGAACTGGCCCCGCCGAATCCCCGGATGGCGAGGAAGAAACGGGGAAGCGGCTCCTAAGGAAGCGCTCCCAACTCGTCGCTGCTGCCTTGGTCACCCGCTTGCTCTCGCTCTCTTTCTCTCTCTCCAGCTGTCTGGCCGAATCGGGGCGGTCTACCAAGAAGTCAGCCGCTTTCCGTCGGTAACTTATGCCAGCGTCGGACCCGAGGTTTCTGCCCGTTGTGGCGCCAAATGCCTGCCCCTCTACACGGGTGAGCCGCTTCACTAGAACCCCTGTTTCTTGTTCCAGCCGGTAGTCCCTCGACTTAAACGGTTCATTTAGCGGCCGTTCGAAGTTAGAACGGCATGGGTGGGTGGGTGAGTGAGAGGACCATTTTTCATGCTTACAGATTGTAGCATCCCCACGATCAAGTGATCAAAATTGAGACATTGCAGTGTCCCAGGCTCATGTGATCACCTTTAGCGACCTTCTGGCAAGCAATCTCAATGGGGAAGCCAGATTCGTTTAACAATCACACTGATTCACTTAACAGTGGTGAGAGAGGTCATAAATCGGGGCAAAATTCACTTAATAAATGTCTCACTTGGTAACTTTTAGAAATTTGGGGGTCAATTGTGGTCGTAAATCGAGGACTACTTGTAGTTTATGTTAGGAAGGGAGCAGGGTTACTCTCAAGTTCCCTTGGTTTGCCGGCTTCTGGAACTATCCACGAATGAGGTAGCGTTTGAAGTGCTTTTTGCATTTTGCAAACAGATGGAAAAACAGGCTGACACAAACTGATGTATTAGTCTACTAATTGGAGAAACTTTGTTTAGCCTGTGCCTTCTGTACATTGTGATTGAGGATGATGGGGTCTTGGAGGGGGAGGATTCTGAGGACAATTGTACAATAAAATAAAATTAGCCATATAGTGTTACTTTTGTTTTGTCAAATCCTCTAATAATCCTAATAGCTGAAAATGCAAAGATCTGCAAGTCCTAATATTAAAAGTCAAAGAGCACAGCAAAAAAATGGCACTAAAATTAAATATACAGAAGAGCAAACTAATGACAAGAGGTGGAATAATCAGTTCTACAGTTGACAATGAAGGTATCAAAATGATGGTGCCTTTTAAGATCAACCATCAGGAATAAGGGAACAATCAGTCAAAAAAATAGGGTGCAGATTCGCTTTTGCTACAGCAGCCACGAAGGTCTTGTGAAAGATAATCAAATGCCAAAAGATGTCTATACCTACAAAGTTCAGAATTGTACAGCCTGTGACATCTATGGAAGTAAAAGTTGGACTTTAAAGAAGCAGGACAGGAAGAATAGAATTGAACTTAGATTTTACCATGGGCAGCCAAGAAAACAAACCAATGAATCATTAAACAAATCAACTCAGAATTCTTACTGCAGGCACCAATGCTCAAATTATCCTATTTAGAACACACATGCAAAGACTCAGCTTTCTGGAAAGGTCGAAGGAAAGAGAAAAAGTGGATCACAAACAATGGATGGACTCAGTTATAGTGGCAGTGAATGCATCGTGGAGACTTGATAGACCAGGTTAGGGATAAATCATTGTGGAAAAGATCTATGTAGTCACTAGGAATCAGAAATGGCTAGATGGCACATAATCATTTTACTGTTTATTTCCTCAAGTAGGTGTTTAAAACTAAATACTCCAGGCTTTAGAGAAGTTGAGTTTTAGCGTTCTGATCAAAGCTTGTTAAATATGGAACAGTGTAGCTTCTTTCTGAACTTCTGCCACAACCAAGACAACAAGAGCCTGATAGCTGCCTGATAGCTCAGAGATGAACAATGCAATATTGGCCTAGTCTGACTCAGTTCTCTCTTTCATTTGAGTTCTCAGAGATATCATAAGAGAAAAGGTGTCTAATAAAGGCCAAATTGTAGTGGCAATTGATGCACCATTGAAACACCTGTTTGGGGACAGCACCTCCTGGAGAAAATCTATTGATGTGTTCACTGAGTCAACGTTGTTTTGGTGGCACATCATCAGTCATAACTATGTCATATTTCTAAGAGGGCTATCACATGAAATTTTTTGAGTTAAAATATATTTTTAAAAAGTAAAGTGTAAAATATTAGTCATTTCAAAGAGAACAATATTATATACCAAAGACCTGGGCAAGCATCAGCTTTCTCACTCAACTTCCTTTTCTGCAGAATGGCGCCACACAGATCTGGAGCGCCATCAGAAACTGCGATTCAGTCACCAATATATTCTTCACCACGATGGCAGAGAAATTGTTTCTGTTACTCCCGTTGGTTTGCCAGCTGAGATTCATAATCAGTACGTAAAACATCTATATTTCCTCAAGTCTTTTTCATGCTTTAGAAGTTCTTGCCCAGCTTGTTTTACTTCAATCAATATTTAAATAAAATGGTCACCCATCCCACAAATGCAACTCTGGTTAGCTGATAAAGACTAAAAATACCCAGAGCATTCTCCCCCTACCTGACTTCATAGGATGGATAGAAACAGTGGAAATAAGGTAGTCCCTAAAATACCTTCGCCACCATTTAGTTTATGCTTAATCAGGTGCAGTAGAATAGTTATTGGAATAAGGATAATTAGCTTTCTTTAATCTTGAAGATGGGTGATAAAAGTTCCAAGGTCTTATTTCTCCCTGCCATTAGCTGCATGCACACTTAGTTTCATATTGCACTGGTCCAATTCCTACTGGTTACACTTCATTCAGTTTCACAGCAAAGGGCTTTCCTAGCTACCTGAAATTCTTTGGCCAGAGGTAGTAGGGGTCACAGGTTTGCATAGGCACAAATCTTGAATTCTCTTCCCTGTGGATCCCTAAAGTAGATAGAAAGAAATAAACTTACCTCTATGCTTTTCTTGTAAATAGCTTCCAAGTTGGCTGTCCTGTTTATTCTGCGCCCCCTTTTCTCTTGCAATATAGGCTGCTGATTGGAATGTCTCCTACTGGGAGATATAAAGCTATTCTCACCCATTATCTGGAAACGGGGCAGAAACAGGAGGTCCTGGAGGTAAAGTATATGCTATTCACGAGTGTTTCTCCTTACCTCCAAAGAGCAAGGATAGCACTTGAAAATGCTGCATGCTGAAACTGACTGATATAGATATGGCAGCCTTAGCTCCAACATTAAAGTCAGATACAGACTCAGGAGAATCAATAAGGACAAATAATATATTTGTTCATTAAACCTTATACTATAGATAGGTACTGGACTTCGATCTAAGAAATTTATATAAGGAGTTTGCATAGCTAGAGTCAAATATATATGGAAACTGGTCTTTTGCAGTAATATACTGGGCATATACTGTAAGTCATGCTTGCCCCGCTATGAATGATAATTGTTCTACCTCAGTCACTTAGAGTTACAGATCTTAGTAGGGAAATGAATTCCAAGTAACTGTGTAATTCACGGTCATCCTTCATTTCCTCGGAGCCCCTCATAATTCAAGACTTTTTCAATCATAACAGTAGAACAAAGGAGGAAGAGTTCTGATGAGCCTGTTGATTCTTTGGCCTCAGTGTGTGGTGGCAGATTTTGCCCTGTACTGATTTCTGTGTCCCAGCAGGTTTGGAGCAACAGTGGGAGGGTAAGAAATATCAATCTCACAGCGCTGGATAAACATGGCAAAGTGTACACAGATGGTAAGGGCAGTAACAGTAGGCTTGGCCGCATGCTGCTCTCTGCAGGCTTAGCAATGGTGCTTCCTCAGCCCTGTGAGCTCTGCACTCTACCAGCATAGCCCTTGATCGTGCTCCTCCTTCCCACTAACATCCCTTTCCCAGTGCCAGAATGAAGTTCTCCTAGCTGTCTGGTATTGTATACTTTCTTCTTTCTTGGCTTTTCTGCAGATGGTGGTCTTTGTAAAGAGCTTTGCTGGCTATTGCAGCCTGGAGATTGCAGACTTTCAAATCTTGGTGGCGGATGCTGGGTGACATCCTGCCAGGAATATCACCCATACTTTCCTGTCGCTTTGTCAAATTAATTGTGTTGATCAGGCTACAGTGCTATGTTTTGTGAAATGCAAATGTCCCTGACCATGCAGGTTAATTTTTTTAACAGCATATATAAGTCTAGGTCAGGCTTCCCCAAAGTGATCCCCAGGAATCAGTGAGACTATCCAAGGGGCTGATAAATGTCTGAAGATCAAAAGGGGTAAAAGACTGGGGGGAGGTGTCAACAGATGGTTGATAAATTATAGAAGGTTGATTGGGTCAATTAAGCTTTTGGGGTTTCTCTAGAGCAGAGGTATCAAACTCACGTCATCATGGCAGTGTCACATGATGTATCAGGATTTTTTCCCCCTTTGCTAAACCTAGTATGGGCTGGCCAGCACATGACGCATTCGGCCTGCGAGCCAGGAGCTTGACAGCCCTGCTGTAGAACTTCAGGCCAGGCCCTAGACCAGAAGGTAAGGTGTCTAGAAGTGAAACACGTTACCCAAGGTTGAATGGTCAGCCACTGGTGAAAGCAACTTTGAAATGTCTCTGTCAGCTGTCGGTTTCCAGTCACTGATTAATATAGTGTTGATCATCCTCTAATCAAACAACTTAATTTTCCCATCTCTGCTAGTTCATCTTTACCAACTATTCCTTTGTTGTGAATACTTCAGAGTCTAGTCTCGTATCAGTAATTTTATATATATAAAACTTCCATGACTGTTTTCCAGTTGACTGTCCACTACTCCAAGCAAAAAAGAAAACTTCTGGTTTTGATTGAATGTTGACCTTTAAAGTATTTTGTATCATCTTATATATTTCAACACAAAAAAAAAATCTGTCTTTTTTTATAAATTTACCAGGCATAATGAAATGGTCCTTCATGTGGTCTACATTTTTAACAGATGTAAATTTGAAGTAGCTTTATATATTTTAGACATTTTTCTGAGAGTTATATGTCAATGGTACATCATTTTATAAAATAATTTTAATGTAAATCTTAAGTTTATTTAACAGCATATTTCCTCACTGTATGTATATTGTGTCCAGAGTTAGCTCATTTTACCATGCAGTCTTTCACTTCAAATTTCAATAAAAGTTTATACATTTGAGCAATTACATGTAAACAGTTCAATTTCAAATTTATCTTCTGCTGCTCAATTCTAAATTTTTAATAACTTTCTCAGAGGTTCTCTCCTTTTACAAATTACTCCATTCCAGTCCCCTCATTAAACAGCAATTTTCATTCAGTAATTTATTACTTTATCCATAAATTCTTTACAGGACTTTCCTCTTCTTGTAGCTACAGAAAATATATATTCAATATTATTATGACTGTTGTCAAAGAAATAAAGCAGTAATAGTTGAGAAGCTGCAGTTGCTTCTAAAAAAAGGGATGATGAAAACTCTAATTAAAAAGAAATCTCAACAGTGTTTTCATCACCACAAGATAGGCTGGCCGTATTATTATAATTACAGCTTTAATGTTATAAACCAGAGTTTGGAATGTAAGCCCCCAAAAGCCAAGCTATGCAACATGAGATTTCTTCTCTGGCTTTACTGAACATGCTACCTCTCAGTTAACAAAATCCTGAGTTCTTTAAAATATGACATACATGAAAACATTTGTGCAAAATTGTCTGTTTGTTGAAGCAGACTCTTTTCTCATAAAAGTCACAATGTAACATAAATTACAATAGTTGTATAAGTTCATGGTAATTTCCAACTTTGGTTACCCTTTGCCTTTACCAACAATATACTAGAATTAAGTGAAACAGCCATAATCTTTTAAAGATAGTAGGAACTGTTGTTGTTTTGAATTGTTTTATTTACTTGATTTATTTGAAACTTTGGTATACTGTTTCCATGGAAGAAATTTCTAGTATATAAAGCAGATCCACTTGCGATCTGAGAAAAATCCCTTTGCCATAAGCGGTAGCTACAACTTAGTTTCATCACATGCTTTAACTTCAAATCAACCTTAAATGCTTAATGTTTAAAATTCTATAAAGTAGTGCTAAACACAGCAAAAGTGCAGGTAGAAGTTCCAGGTAACCAAGGAGAGTGACAATTGAAATATACTCTTATCACCACAGTTCCCTCCATGACAAAGAAATAAGTCGAACTTTGTATCAAGTCATTAAAAATATTCCAGTCTCAGCGAATTTCTTATCTCCAGCCTTGCTGATAAGTATGTAATCACCTTATGAACTGTATAATGCACATAAACCATTTTAAGTGCTTGTAAGCTATACATAACCCTGGAAACTTTATACTGGGCTGTTGGCCCTCAAAAGGTCCAATAACTCACTGTGTCAATAAACATAACAAAATGATCATTTGCATCCTGTTGTTTTGGTAAGTATACTTCTACTATACTTCTCAATTTAAAGATTGTGAAGAGGATTACAGTAAATGCTCATACAGTATAGTAAGCCATAATTTGTTCAGTCATTTTACTGGCTATATTTATACATTGAGTTATTTATACAATTTATACAATCCTTGATTCACAAGCCACAATGGCTAGATCGGCTAAGTGCAAATTAAACAAACCACATTAGGATTTAGGTATAATATATGAATCGGGAGTCAAATGTTCATTCCCTTTGGTGGTTTTAGAAAACATATCCATTCAGGCAACTTGTGATCCACAGTCTACAATCAGCATGTAAGTTCCACTAGCTTTTTTTAGTTTGGTCAGGGGATCCTGCAAACTTGTATTCTACCTACACATGTTATTATTTCCTATTTCTGTCCTACCACAGAGCAGTTTCGATGCTTTGCTTGGTCCAACTCAGAAACTCAGATTGTGTATGTCGCAGAAAGAAAGCACTCTCCAAAACAACAATTTTTCTCTCAAGGAGAATTCACTGAAGGACAGGAGGTAAATAAAGAAAGCCATAAAATTTCTCCTTTCTTTTTATTTATTAAAATAACTGAACTATGTCAAGTATCTTATGGTCCAAGAGTTAACCAACGCAGCAACTTCAAAGTAGGCCTGGCTCAACAGATAGGTGACCTGCTAGCAATATTACCACTGTATTGGTAATATTGCAGCTTCCAAGTCATCTCCCAAAAAAACCTTGCATGGAGTTTGTTAAAATATCCAACCAAGAATTGATCGAAGCATTGTTTATTGTTACCAGGACATTATAAATCATTACTTTTGGCCCATTGCATGTTAAATTTATATTTATTTACCTGTAGGCAAATATAAACTCAAGAAAAATTGTACAAAATTCATCATTGTACTGCATCATTGTGTTCAGTTCCTAGAAAATAGTTTGCAAATTTTAAATTTCAAATGTGGTCACTAACCAGACTTACTAGTGTGATCCATGCAGCAAGCCTTGGAGGGTGGGGGGTGAGAGCTGTAATTTATATTCAGTAAAAGGAGTGCTCATGTGGATGGGACACTGAGATGACGATCAGTAGGCCTGTGTTTGAGACGCAGTTGTTACCATGGGATGTGGTGAGCTCCAGTCACATGCTCCAGCACCTGTCGACTTAGCAGTTCGAAAGTGGGTGACTGAAAATAGCTAGATGGGTACCACTTTGATGGGCAACTTAATGGGCACATGAAAGGAGCCCCCAGTTAGGTATCCCCCAGGCAATGATGATGTCACCGTTCAATCCTGACACGATTGTCGAATTTATATTCAGTCTGTCTTGTGAAAGAATACAGAGACACAGCTCTCTAAAATACTTATTTGTTTGATTACATTCTAGAATGAGCGGTTTGTGTACAATGACAACTGGGGAGAGGCACTGGGCGACAAAAGTGTCCCTGTGTTATGTGTATTGAATATTGAAACCACTGAGGTTTCAGTGCTAGAAGACATCCCAGGGCACCTCTCCCCTGGGCAGGTTAGTATAAGGCAGCCTGGTAAGTTAAATTGGGAAGAAGACAAAAACAACACCCCAGTCCTCCGCTTATTGTTTTTTACATTGCTGTTTTGGTTTTCAGAAGCATATATAAAAGAGATATATTCAGGGTGTGAGGCTAGGGTGGGTTTTGGAAACGGTTCTGTTCAGTTGAGCTTTAACATGGCCCTTCATATGTTTGCCTCTTTTATAAGTTTCTGTGCATTACTTCCATATTTTGAATAGGTAATATTCAGTGACCTCATAACAGATGCTATAAGTGTGCGAGGATAACTTTGCATTAGATAGAAAATACTTCTTATAAGTGCATTTGTTAATCTGGGGCAAGACGTTATCATGCTAAATGTCCACCCACATTTATGTTTCTACTTCCAGATGGATCATTCTTAACTCTATTAATCATAAAACATTTGTGGACAGAAAAAAAGTGGGGGGGGAATCAGAAACTTTGGAAACCATATGGAAATGTTTGAAATTGTGTAAAATTCTGTTTATGAGGCATGGTGGTAGCATGAACTTTAAAATCATTCATTCTGTTTTCTTCCAGCTTTTCCTTTAATTGGCTTAGATTTTAGTAGGAAATTAGTTAATTGAAGCCACACAATTGCATTTCCTTTAAAATAGCTCGAAACACTATTTGAAAACTGTTATTCAGTACTTAGTCTGACCTTTATAATATGCTCCAGTTCAACTGTATTGCTACTGTTTTCACTGCTGGATGGTGTCCTGACCTTTCATGCAAGTTTGGCTGAAATGTAGAATGGTAGCAGGAATCTTTTGGTGGGGAAATGTATTTGCAGGACTATTTCCTCCCAAGCATTTCTAACAGAGGGAGAGAGTAATTGGAGAGTTACTACCAAACAGCAGTTCTAAGAATTGGGTCCGCTCCTAGTAGATGATCTTTTTGAAAGACCCGATCTCCTGAGCGGCATTCTTCAGATTATGGAGGAAGGTTGTAGGACAAAGCATAGCCTAGGACTTAGTGCTCAAAATCTCACGTGCTAATACTTTGGTTTTGCTTCCCTGGCCAGGCCCTGTGGTCCCCAGGTGACAAGGGATTAATATTTGTGGGCTGGTGGCATGAGCCATTCAGGTTGGGATTACATTCCTGCTCCAATAGGAGGTAAGTAAGATCTCATGGGCCCATGAAAGCATATTGTAAATGTATCTCATTTTTAGTGGGCCAACGTGAATAATTGCTTTGAAAAACTCCACAAGTTTTTATTCAATTCTGAGATCAGTAATTGTTTCTGAAATTCCCCTATATGGAAATGTCAATCGGGTTTCAAAGGAAAACAGATGGGGGACAAACCCAGCTTAATATCTGCCTTTCCTTAAACAGGATAGCCAAAGCCTGCTGCCAGTCCTCCCTTCCAAGAAACTGCGTAAACCATCATCCTTAGGGTTGCTTAATTCATGGGTTCTATTACCATTAGCAAATATGAGCATTTCCTACTGAAAAAGAGATTTTAAGTTTCCAAATCCTTAGTGCTATACCACTTTCTTTTGAGTAAAGATTGTGAATATTGGATCTTATTGTAACACAGAGTTCCCTCTCGGGCTGGCATGAGGTCTGGGTTGGTGGTGAAAAATGGTTCCTTCAGATAAATCTTTACCTGTCCCCTCTCCCTGTTATAGGTCAGCTCTATTTCTCTTCGATCTGTCTGAACATAGCTGTGGTAAGTTATTCCAGAAATGATCTTAAGTGTTCTAAACGTGAAGGAGTCTCCTCCAACACTTGCAGTCCAGAGAAGATACTCTGCTTTCCAGAATCTGCCACAAACATGTTTACACGTCTGACTATTTGTTGCATACAGATAATCCTTGATGTATGACCAGTTGCTTAGTGATCATTCAAAGTTACCTCAGACCCTCCCAAACAGGTACTTGCAACCTGGTTTCAACTGCAGAGAAACTGCAGCGCGCACCCCCATTTCCCCCACCATCCCACCAGCTCCCCCAGGTCTCAACCTGCTCCCAAGCTGCCCACTCAGTCACCCAAAAGAGCCTAAACCGATTAGCAGAAGCAGGCGGCTCCAAAAACGAAGTCTTCTTAAAATACTGATCTCCCTACAATCTTTGTTTGTACTATTTGTTTGTAGAATAGTGTTAGGTTGCCATAAGACCAGCAGCCTCTATAAGAAAGTGGAGTTTTGCATTGCATCTCATTGCATCAGCCGGGCTCCTCTACAAAAAAACCCAAAAGGTTAGTTTGGTGCTGCTGGGCCGTGGAGCAGGCTGAGTCCTGCAAGTCCGTTGGGTGGCTGGATGGGAAATAGTCCTCAGCCTAGAGGATTTAAACAGTCTCCGTGTGTGTTGGTTGCTTCTACTGACAGGTTCCCTTGCATGACTGAGTCAACGGTTCGGGAACAGGCCAAAGCCTGGGCAACTCTGAGCAATAGAGAACAGAGCACTGGGTACCTCAGGGGCAGGAGCAGCTGGGCCTGCATTATGCCTCCAAGGCTTCTCCAACTACTGAGGCACCCCACACTCCACTTAACAATCTGCATGTTCATGAAATGATTGTATTGAGAAGATGGGGGTTATTGAAAAGCTTTACTTAATGGCCATCACATCTTATGACAGTAACAGACAGGCTCCAGTTGGTATTGACAGGAAACAAGAAGTCCAGCCTCCACTCCCGCTTTGCTGGGTCCTGCAGTACTTTCTCCGCTTCTGTTTAACATCTACATGAAACCGTTGGGTGAGACCATCTACCACCATGGCCTGAGATAGAATCAATATGCTGATGACACCCAGCTGTATGTCTCAGTCCATAGTGTGTTAAGCAACGCTTTTACCATCCTCCCACAGTGCTTAGAGGCCCTTAAGGGCTGGATGGAGAACAGTTGGCTTAAGTGAACCCTGGCAAAGTGGAATGGCTCTGGCTTAGGGCTCTTTGGCCCATGGAGAATTGCCATCTTTGGTCTGGTCTGGGAAGGCATTGTCTCAGATAAACCCAGTGCATAATCTGGGGTTCTCCTGGACTCACGACTCTTGCTTAAGGAACAGATGGATAGCCTCTGCACAACTATGGTTTGTGCACCAGTAAGCCCTTTCCTGGACCAACAATCCCTGCTCGTAGTCACCTTCTGTCTTGACTATTGCAAAGCTCTTTACATGACAATATAATTGAAAACTGTCCAGAAGCTTCATTTGATTCAAAATGCAGTGGCCCTCATGTGCATGTGTGTCATTTCCTGCAGAAGCTGCATTGGCTTCCAGTTTGCTTCTGGATCCAATTCCAGGTGCTGGTTGTCACCTTCAAAACCCTATATAATTTGTGACCAAGTTAGATGAAGGACTGTTCTTTCTAGATCACATCTACCTAACCCACCAGAGTGGGGAGGCAGGGAATGCCACAGGTTCCCTCTGTTAAGGAGGTCTATCTAGTAGAACCAAGGAAAGGGAACTTATCTGTGATAGATCCCTCCCTATGAAGCATCACCCCTGTGGAAATAAGATTGGCACCTTGACACTCTTTCTTAAGGCCCTGGAGATTTGGTTTTGTCAATTGGTCTGGGGCTCCCAGAGTGGAATGGAGCCCATCAAATGGCTCATTTGATTGTTGTCACCAGGGAGTGGGGATTTATTGCTTTTTGTTGTTTTTATATTGGGTTCTTATCTTTGTAAGCCATCCACAGTCACTGAGTGTGACTGTATATTTGGCCATATAAATTTTATATGTGGCCATATAAATTTTCTTAAATAAATGAATAGTTGTAAGTTGAGAACTACATGAATATATAAATGTGGGTCAGGTGTTTTGTATTTCTGGTAACTGTATAAAGAAGAAAAGTACTGCTTTTCTTTCTTTAGGACAACAAAGGAAAAACATAATGCCTTCTTGTTGTGTTTTTGATTATTTCAAATACTGGGATTCTGCAATGTACGGATACTGTTTCGAATAATCTCATATTTGGAGCGGAAGCCAGGGAATTCGCAGAGATGTGTCATTTTCTGATGTCTGAACTTTGAGCAAGCATAGTTGTTGGGTATTTCAAAGTTCATATAGTATCAGCAGCCATTGAGCTGAAATGTTTTGTATTTTGAAAGCATCAAGAAATAGATTCTCAGAAGGAACTTTGGAAGAACATGTATAGGCAATACTTTCAGAAGGTCAATTTAAATGTTAATTCACGTTCTGGTAATCTTATCACTTGGTCTTTGGTCAATTGTTACAACAAAATGAGATTAAATAACCTTTCTTATTGTCACATATGTAGTTGCCTTAAGACACAGCTCCACCAACTTTGTACCCCATTCTGGTTGCAGAACTATTGACTTCAGATGATCAGTCTGTCTCTTCACCACGGCTCAGCCCTGACCAAACTCACCTGCTGTACTTGGAGGGACCAGTGTTTGGGTCTCATCGCCAGTGCTTGAAGCTACAGTTGGTGAGTGCCTGAAAATACATTGTCTATCCCTGTCAACTGAGTCAACAAGTCAAAGGAGCATCAGTTCATCTTTTCCTTTCCAACATTCCTTTCCTTCAGAAATATTAATCATGCCCCTGCATGCAATTTCCACTTCTAAACTCTCAGGGCTTCCATCTCATCTCTCAAAGATGGGGAAAAGAGGATTTCTCATTGACCCAGTACTGTCTCCCTTCCAATAAGGCTTTATTCTCAAAAGATTTTTAATAAGCCAAAACTAATTGGATTTGAACATCCTACTAAGGTATAACATATCTTTTACAAGGCTGGGTTCGCTCAGTACACTAAGCCAAAACCATCATATTATCGCTTGGCATGATGAATGACCCCACCATAAAAAACTCCCAAATTTTTCAGTAAGAAGCAGGTGGTGCCCTGTAAATTAAAAATTATAAGAAATATCAGACCTAACATATCTGAAAGACTGACTTCCTAGACCATTAGTTAGAAAAGTAAATGATAATATCTTAACCAGCTAGTAAAGAGCATTTTCAGTCACTTGAAATTGCTCAGTGACTTTATTATATTCCAGTTTGAAATGAAAAGCAAGCTAAAATAATATAAGGGCACATACAATCAATGTCTCTTGTTCTTGTATATACTGAATGACATCACTGATTACCATTATAAAACTAATACTGAAATCTAGGAGTTAGGAAAATGCTCAGTGTGCAATCTTCTCTCCTGCTTAGCTCAACTGGCAAACCAAGTCCTCATATACAGTAGTGGACATAGTCAGAACTTCCACAGCTGGTAAGTCCTCATTTCAGAGAATATATACCCCAAATTTGAATAACATTTTGTGATTACCCTCCATTTCAGTTACATATCTCCATTTTATGTATTGTCTTATGGCTACATGGACTCATATAGGCACCTAAGAGTTGTTTTTGTAATCTGAAAAAGAAGAATATTTTAGTGAATGTTAGAATTTTTCTTAAACTGTGTCTCTGGTGTAAAATATCTCTACAAACTCTTCTTCTTTTTAAGGTTTTTATGGGATTTACTCAGGAGCACTGTCCATGCTTTGCTGGGCCTCTGATAATCAAAGAGTCTTACTTAGCACTCCTCAGAGGAGTAGAAAGGTAGGTTGATGCCAGCAGAAAATACTTTATGTTGGAAAAAGGAGGTCTAGCAACAGGACTATATTTCTGTTCCTACCAGGCACTACACTGCAGAAAAGCCAAAGAGAAAGAAGCGATATGACAATGAAATTTATGTGATTGGTTTACAGCAAGCGTCTTAATGCATACATTCTGACTTAGGGGCTTGGAGCAGCATAACTCTCAAAAAGTAGATCAGAAGGATGATTAATATGAGTTTTCTAGCTCAATAAAAGGTTGACTTCCTATAAAGACACTATAGCCACTGTTTTACAAGTAACTTGATAAATAGCAATCCATTATTTTTATCTAAGATGATGAGTTCTGTGGATTAAAAAGACTCTTGGAAGAAACCTTCTGTCTGTTGAAATTAAAGATGAAGTTAGGACTGAAAGATTAGAGCTTAATATAAAATTTACTAAATCTTGGGAGAGCCATCAGCCTTGTAATTTATGTTGAGAGAGAATGTGGGGAAAGTGTTTTTCACCAGTAAATTATCCACATGTTCATCAACTAAGTCCACAGGCATAATTTTTTTTATCATCTAAGAAGAAATTTCCTGACAGTTAGAACAATTAATTAGTGGAACAACTTGCCTCCAGAACTTGTGGATGTTCCAACATTGGAAGTTTTTAGGAAGAGACTGGAAAATCATTTGTCTGAAATGATATAGGGTTTCCTGCCTAAGGAGTGGGTTGGGGTAGAAGACCTCCAAGGCTCCTTCCAACTCGGTTATTCTACTCTATTCTATCTTTTGCAGGAAGTGTTAGTTGTGGATACCAAATCAGGAAGTGTGAAATCTATTACATCAGGTACAATATAATCTTAATTTTTGTGTACATGTGCATTCAAGTCAGTTTTGACATAACAAGCCTGCTCATCTCAAAGGAGGGTAAATTTGCTGATTAAATCTAGATTTCAGTGAACCCAACAGTTCCTTTACCCTTGACATCTTTTCTTTTTAAAAGCTTCGTACCATTTTTTTATATAGATCTTAATGCCATACTGGGATTAGAGCACATGTCCAGCAATTTTTTTTCCCCATTTGTTTCTAAAGAAGCAAATATCAAGATTATGGTATTTTCCACCAGAATCAGATTCCTCTCCCACTTCCTTTCCCACGGTGGTCTTTGAATAGGATTCTTCATGCATTGTGTCATGAATCAAGATAATCAAGATAAATCTGAAATCTATCCTTGATATCCTTTGCCTAGGCACATCAGAAGGTAGCTGGACTCTACTAGGAGTTCAGCAAGATCTGCTAGTGGTGAGCTGTTCATCTCCCACTTGCCCACCAAGTCTGGTAAGACATTCCCTGTGCAGGTCAAGATAAGGCTTGCTTTTGTGCTTCCATTTTCCCATTATCCTGTTTTCCATGGAACCATGACAATTCAGAGACTTTGGTAAGCTATTCTCATTACTGTACTTTTTCCCATAGACTGTATTTGCATGAGACATTTTTGGTTGTCTTCTTCCTTAATTCATCTCTAGAAGACTTCAATTAATCCTCCTTCCCTTTAAAAAACCAGTTTGGACATTCATATGTTTACATTATTTACATCAACATACCGTCACTTGAATACTTCCTAGTCCAAGCTCTGGTGCCCTGTTCTCAAAATGGAGGTCTATTACAGACATGCTGACAGATCATGAGTTGTGCTAATCATAATTAAAGAAGCAACAGTTTGAGCAATGGGTAAAGCACCATTTTCAGCTGCTTGCTTCTTTTTGTTCATCTTCATTAAGTCATCATTTTTTTCCTTGTCTGTTTTCTACACCCACTTGTGAAGCAGGCCTCCAATCATCACTGTGATTTCTGAAATCAGATTCAAACCAGCAAGCCACAAATAGCATAAACTGCTTTTGAAGTCACCTCGAATCAATGATCTGATATCCTAATTAGGCATTATATTTGAGAGGAAAATGTATGAGCTTAGTCCCTTATAATTTGCAATGAAAATATACATTCTGACAAATATGAGGACAAAACTAGTTCCCATCAGACCACATATAATGTTAAGAGATTGTGTGACATTATACCATTCAAGGCAGTGCTTCTAGTAACAGCATATTATATCTGCTTTGTAGAAGGTGGGTGTGCTCCCCCCAAAAGGGAGTGAGCTGGAGCTACAGTGGATCAGTGTGGAGGAATCTTCTGTACTACCTGACATGGAATGGAAAATCCTCACAGTGAATCCTGCCTTGTCTGAGAAGGGCAGCCCATACAGTAAGGAAGCAGGTCCATAGAGCTTCCTCCTAGACCTATGACTACCTCGCTTGCTTTGCTAGTTGGCTGGAATATATTGTGGGCTTTGCATTTAGTGGTCCTAGGTGGAGGTAGACTTGGTTCCTTGATGTAGTAAAGATTAACAGCTTTAGGTTTATGGAGATGATAGGACAGTTGTGCAGAAAAGAAACATCCTTCAGCCAAAAATAAACTTTAATCTGCTTTTGGTGTAAGGACAAGGCCAGACTCATTGTTCTGGAGCACTGGAAGAATCCAAATCAGAATGAAGAGGGTAAAATAAGTGCGTATTGCATGCATCTAGATCCTCAGCCCCTTGTGCTGTTTAACTGAAAGGAACTGCTCTCATTTTATTTCCTAACCTAACGTTAGGACAAGAGAATTCCATAGAATCCTGTTGCATGCTATATAAAACAGAGAAGCTCTACGGCATTAATAATGGATTTGTAACAAACCGTGAATTCCTTTGGTAAAACATTTGGAATAGAGCTGGCTAGATGGCAACATTAAGCCAACCTTAGCTAATCTCAAAAAGCTAAGTAAGATTGAGGTCTTCTCTGGATGGGAGGCCATCAGGAAATTCCGGAGCTCTTGTGAGATTGGAAAATCAAAACAACATTCTGGAGTTTTATTCATGCACTTTGCATTCAGGGCTAGGTGTTAGAATTCCTGGTATTTCATGCTCATGTATTTCAGCTGGTATTCATGTTCTGTTATCCAAAATGTTTTAATTTATAGTAGACAAGTAAATCTACTTATATCACATGTAAGTTGAGAATCCCTAGAAAAAGCCCCTCCCCTCCTTATTTTGATCTACATTGTGGACTGAAGGCCGTTTTTAACACCAATACAAATTCAGGGGACTTTTGATCTAAAAGCATCCTACTCTGGGATTTCTGCAAATAGGTGACAGTGCTGGTCACCAAAAGTTATGTAGAGTCATACCTAGTTAATACTCAGAAGGCCCATAGGTTAGACCTGGGTCAAAAACAGACATCATGGAAGAAACGAATGATATTTCAGTTTTGCTTTCAAGAAAGTTACATAGACTTGTTTATGAAATTACTATAAGATATAAAATAACCTTTATTGTGATTTTTTTTTCCTGCGGGCACACTGGCACACATTAAAAATTAAATTCTGTTGCCTGCTGTCAAAAGTGTACACATACATATATTGTTGAAAGGAAACAATTTTTAGGATATTTATTTGTGTTGTATTTCTTTATCACAATTGGGATTTAGATTTTCTAGCCCAGGAGCAACATGTCTTGGTTCTGCATGATATAGGAGTGTGTCTTGTACTGGGGTATATGAACAAGAGAGACTGGCAGGCTAAGCGAAGGAGGGATGTACTTAACAGGTTGATTTCCCTTGGCCAGTGAAGTTTGAAAGATGACCTTCAAAAGCTCACTTTTGACCTTTCTTACAGCTGACCAGTCATTTGAAGCCATATTGCTGATTCCTCAAGGAAGCAAACAAGGAGAAGAGGCCCTTTTCCCCCTTGTGGTTTCTCCACATGGTAAGTCACACCCGTTCTTCTCTTTGGCTTGAATAAACTATTTCATGTGCTAACAATTAGACCCAGCTTTCTTGCTTCATTTCCATTTTTTCCAGGATATTATCAATGCTGGTGAGGGCGTCTTTCTGAGCCCCCTTGAAATTTAAAGAGGCAAAGGTTATCTATGAGATTAGCTGCAGTTTGCTGCTTTAATGAGTTGGGCCACATTTCCAAAAAACTAAATGTTTATCAGGATTTCCAGCCTCTGCTTGTTCCCCTTTTCTCCTTCAACTCTAGATTTCTGTTTTCTTCCTTATGAAGAAGAGTGATGTTAAAACATTTCTGTATATCTGCCATTTTCTTTCCAGGTGGTCCACATTCAGTTTTTGATGCTTGCTGGCGTCCAACTATGGCAGGTCTCTGCCAGCTGGGTTTTGCAGTGCTTATGGGTGAGTAGCCCTGGATTCCTACATTTAATTTTCTTATCCAAAGAGACATTGCATGCATTTTAGTACAGGTGATCCTCAATTAATGACCACTTGTTCAGCAACCATTTGAAATTGTGATGATGCTGAAAGAAAGGTTCTTATAACCAGTCCTCAGATTTCTGGCCATTGCAGCAACTGGCCCCGATTTCCAACCTCACAATGTCCTGCAGTCAAGAGATCACCATATGCGACCTTTGCAAGCTTCCAACAAGCAGTCAATGGGGAAGCGGGCAGAAAGTTGGAAGTCATTGTCACATCAGGTCCTTGCTTAAAGACCCACAGTAATTTGCTTGATGACGGTAACAGGTTAGAACTGCCATTGCTAATGGACGCAGTCACATGGTGTCACATTTTACAACTATGTTGCTTAACAACAGCAATTTCAATCCCAATTACCCTTGTTAAGTGAGGATTAACTGTATTCGTGAAATGATCTTACGTGCTTCAGATAATTAAATAAAAAGGGTAAACTTCTTGAGAGGAAACTTGTGATTCCCCGAGAGGATCTTTTCACTTCCTCATTTGTTTTTCTGTGAAATAACTTCTGCTACTTTTACCAAAAAAAGGGCAAAACTACCAGGAAGGGTAGAAATTGGACAAGAAATTCTTGGCAGCACACTTCCCAGAAGAAGAGGCTGTTACAAGACAACAGAAGCCAAGTGAGCCTAGATGTAAGGTCTTACAACACCGTTTCACTTCCTTCCAGAGTGAGAACATATCCTCCAAGAAATGCACATCCAGAATATTGCTGCCTCCTCACCCTTTTATTGAGATGGTATCAACTTTCACCATACAGTTTCAGGAGTTTCAGTTTCTTCAGTGAAAACATTCCCATCACAATGTTCACCTCAGTATGAACAACGGAATAGATTAAATCCCTTACTGAGCAAAACTCATGGCCCCGGCTTTGCTTTTGGAATGGAGTGAGCTATTATTTTCAGTGCATATTCTTCATACATACGTAGCTTACTTGAGAGGAAACTTATTGTTTCATTAGTTATTGAATGATAGTATCCAGGAAAACAGTTTAATAGTACATAGAACTTTGATTTATCAGTGGACATCAAACTGTGGCTTACAGTCTTTGTAAGCAATGCTTACAAAGGATTAAAACTACACTGCTCAAAAAAATAAAGGGAACACTTAAACAACACAATGTAACTCCAAATCAATCACACTTCTGTGAAATCAAACTGTCCATTTAGGTAGCAACACTGATTGACAATCAATTTCACATGCTGTTGTGCAAATGGAAGAGACAACAGGTGGAAAGCATAGGCAGTTAGCAAGACATCCCCAATAAAGGAGTGGTTCTGCAGGTGGTGACCACAGACCACTTCTCAGTTCCTGTGCTTTCTGGCTGATGGTTTGGTCACTTCTGAATGCTGGCAGTGCTTTCACTCTAGTGGTAGCATGAGATGGAGTCTACAACCCACACAAGTGGCTCAGGTAATGCAGCTCATCCAGGATGGCACATCAATGCGAGCTATGGCAAGAAGGTTTGCTGTGTCTGTCAGTGTAGTGTCCAGAGCATGGAGGCACTACCAGGAGACAGGCCAGTACATCAGGAGATGTGGAGGAGGCCATAGGAGGGCAACAACCCAGCATCAGGACCGCTACCTCCACTTTTGTGCAAGGAGGGACAGGAGGACCATTGCCAGAGCCCTGCAAAATGACCTCCAGTGGGCCACAAATGTGCATATGGCTGCTCAAACGGTCAGAAACAGACTCCATGAGGGTGGTATGAGGGCCCGATGTCCACAGGTGGGGGTTGTGCTTATAGCCCAACATTGTGCAGGACATTTGGCATTTGCCAGGGAACACCAAGATTGGCAAATTCACCACTGGCGCCCTGTGCTCTTCACAGATGAAAGCAGGTTCGCACTGAGCACATGTGACAGACGTGACAGGGTCTGGAGACGCCGTGGAGAACGTTCTGCTGCCTGCAACATCCTCCAGCATGACCGGTTTGGCAGTGGGTCAGTAATGGTGTAGGGTGGCATTTCTTTAGGGGACCACACAGCCCTCCATGTGCTCACCAGAGGTAGCCTGACTGCCATTAGATACCGAGATGAGATCCTCAGACCCCTTGTGAGACCATTTGCTGGTGCAGTTGGCCCTGGGTTCCTCCTAATGCAAGACAATG